AGTTTTGCTTCTGACATTAATTAGCTGTGTTACTGTGGTTAATATCTTTATTTTCCTCTGGAAAATATCTCTATTTGAGAAGGTATACTAATGGGAACACACAATTCCTAGCCTGATTCCTTGTGTTTCCTAAAACTTTCTCCTGAGGTTGATAAGAAGGCCCGATGCTCTAATGGTCTAACCACACACTTATTACCAGGTTGCCAGGAAGATCTTTATAATCCTGGAGTTAAGTGAAAACCAGGGTTCATTTTGATTAAATATTGACAATGTCTGAAGGTGTCATACATAATAGTCTCAACTAGGGACCTACATGCTTAAACAGTAACTAAAACAGCACTGAGACTTCGAGTCAAGAGCCTGAGATATCAGTTCAAGTCTATCTCAACATCTGTTTAAGAAAGGTCTTAGGCAGTTATCTATGTACTTAGCTTCTTAATTTCCTCTTTTGGGTGAGTGAAAGAACAAATCTGATTATTTCAGTGCTATGAAAATGATAAAATATTTTAAAATGTACATCATTTCTGCCATTAGCAAAATAATCAGTATTTGTCTATAACCACATAATTTTTTAGTTTCTACCTGTTTAATTTTCGTTGTTTTGAAGAGAGGTCAGGCTAAGGCTTTTTCTAACTTAAAATTTTAAATACAAAAAGACACTGTACACAAACAATGAAAATATATAGAAAAAATTAAAGTATCTTCTCTTGCTATATCCTGGCTCTGCGCCCATCTTCCTACCATCCACAAAATTTTTCTATGTATGCATTTTTGTTTTCCTACACATTTATACTCATAGATTATTAAAAAAAACACATCTTTCTCTCTTTTTATTTTTTTTAAAAACAGGGTCTCTATATTGCCCAGGACGGCCTTAAACACCTAGGCTCACATGATCCTTCATGTATTGACCACCCCTGCTCTTGTGCATGTTTTAAATTAGGATTTGACTATATATGATGGACAGAATTTTATCAGTACATATACAGATCTATCTCAATTATTTTACTATTATGCAGTATTCTTCACTGAGTTATGGTTTAATGGTCCCCCCCACCTTTTTTTGTACCAAGGATTGAACCCCAGGGCACTTAATCACTGAGCCACATACCTAGCCCTTTTTATTTTTTGAGATAGGGTCTTGGTCCCCGTAAATTGCTAAGGCTGGCTTTAACTTGCAATCCTCTTTCAGCCTCCTGAGCTGCTGGGATTATAGGAATGCACCACCATGTCTGGTTAACTGTTCTGCTTTGATGAACATTTATTTTGCTTCTAATTTGTTACTGTAACAAAATATCAAATAAACACTCTTCTTAGTTTCCCCAAAGTTAGTAACAAATTCTCATAAATTTGGTGATTTAAGCAACAAAGATTTATTCTCTCACAGTTGTGGAGCCCAGAAATCCAAGATCAAGTGTTGCTTCCTTCTGGAGGCTTTGAAGGAGAAATCATTTCATGTCTTCTGACTAGTGGCGGGGGCATTCCTTAGCTGTTGATGCATCACTCTAAACCACCTGTCTTAAATAGCCTCCCCCTCTGGTTTCATCTCCCTTTTCTTTCTCTTGTAAGACACTAGTCTCATTTCCAGATCTTTACCATAATTATATCTGCAAAGATTTTTATTCCAAATAAGGTTACATTGTGAAGTTCTGGGTGAACAGAACTTATCAGGCCAACGTTCAATCCACTATACATGAGAATATGTCAGATGGGATAAAAAAGAATTAAACTGCTAAACTGCATTTCAAAATTCTGTAATAATTTTTATTTCCACCAACTGAACATTAAAGTGTCTTCACCCCACATCTTTGACAACTCTTAAAAACTTTTGCTAAACTGATGTAGGTAAAAAATAATGTAATACCATTATTTCATCTGCATACCCCCAATTTCTAGCTATATTTTAATCATCTTTTCATGTATTTACTGATTATCTGTACTTCTTCTGTTAACAAGCTGTAAGTTCTGTCATTTTCTAAAGGATGGTGTGCCTTTTTCTCTTTGCTCTTTAAGAATTCCTCCTGGTGTGGCTACTAATTTTGTTATAGCCACAATCTCCTCCATGTCTGTCACTTATATAAATTATTAACTTTCACTACAGAAAATTTCTAAATATTTATTTCGTCAAATTGACCAAAATTTCCTTTGGGATCTCCAGGTTTTGTGTAACATTTATGTTTTTAAATTCCCTAATTTTTTTTTTTTTTTTGGTGACATCACAAAGTAGGACAAATAAAGGACTATAAATTGCAGAGTTTACTCAGTTTGCAAATGCTTTATGAATGAGAAAATATTTGAGGAGCCAGATAATGCTCTGGGCATTTATAATTCAGCTAGAAATAACAAATATTTTAAGTAGCAATGCTTAAAGGAAAAAAATTAGCAAAGAGCTTCAAACTGATGTAACAAATGAAAATGACAATACAACAGGAAATAGAATTTCTCTAATAGGTCTTCTAAATCACAGTAAATTGCAACTCTAACTTCAAAAGATTTTAAGCATTCAAAAGAAAACCACGCACTTTCTCTCAAAACACATTTGTGACACTCATTTCAAGAACTGCTTATAGTTGTTCATTCCCTTACTGCATTATGTGAAGAGGCCAGTTTATCATTACACCAATGATAGTTGTTTATATGGTTCCTAGCTCAGGGATTTTATGAAAAATATTGCTATAAACATTCTAGCACATATCCTTTTGGTAAACATATTTTCATTTCTTTGAGAATATACTAGGAGTGGAATTTTGGGTCACAGGATGTATAATGTTCATAACTACTGCCAAATAGTTTCCTTTCTTTTTTCTTTTTTGGTAGTACTAGTGATTGAACCCAAGTCTTTGTACATGGTAGGCAAGAGCTCTACAACTGAGCTACATTCTAGCCCTAGTTTTCCAAAGTAATTATAAAACTCCTACAACAATCTAAGAGTTCCAGTTTGTGGTATTCTTGTTAACACTTTTCATCTTTCCCTTTTTAAGCTATTCTAATAGAAATGGAACAAACAAAATTACTACAGATGCCAAACCTAAATAATAGTAAATCTCTTAGAACAAAGATTAAATAAATGAAAAAAAACCATGCAGTCTTTAAAAAGCAACAACAACAAAAACCACTTCATTTCACTAATAAAATGCTAGGGGGAAGTAAACACATACTAAATAACAGATCAAAAACCAGGTCAATCATGGAGTCACCAAATAATCTTTAAAATCAGAGGAAAATATAAATTCAGAAGATAGGAAACATGACAAGTAAGTGACTAATTATCTGGAAACTAATGGATGGCATAAATTCTCTCACTAAAATGTTATGATCCATATTATGCTACAGAGACAACTGTCACTTTATTTCAAGAGAAAGAATCAGCCGATTTTTAAATAAAAGCAATACTAAAGTATGTTTCAATAAAAAGTCACAGAATAGCTTTTTTATGTGCTACAGTGTAACTACTTATCTTCACTATGTAAAATACATTAAAGAAACTGTAGTCTATAATTATGGCATGTAATTTTAGGGGGAAAAAAAAACCAAGCTGAATTTGTAATACTATCTTACATCTGTGTAACACTGAACTTAAAAAAAAAAAAAAATTCTAGACTTTCACTTAAAACTATGTAGAAAAAAAAAATCCTGGCAAAAATGGAAATCCATAAATTACTTCTTTATGCAAGTTACTAAGACTACGTATGACCGGTTTCAGCCACAGGTTCCTAGAAACTAAGGACTATATCTTGTAATTTATCACAAAACTCTTCTATAGATTTAGTTGAGTATTCTTAACAAAAAATTCAGTAAATCTAACTTACCAACATGTTGAAATCTATAACTACTGACCAAATTATCATATATACTTCTTCATGTAGTTGGTGGAAAGTGACTTATTTATATATTATTCTGAAAGATCTAGTTCTAAATGCTTAATTTTTTAACAAGAACTGGTAAATATGTATTGATTTTTTAAATTATGTAAAAACAAAAGCTATGAACTTCTAGAACAGAGTAGAAAGCTACAAGCTACGTTCAAGGTCATCTCTCTCTCTCTCTTTTTTTTTTTGGTCAGTGTTGCAATCAAACTCAGGGCCTCACAAATGCTAGGCAAGCAATCTATTACTGAATCACATTTCCACTCCAAACCTCTTTCTAAATAAAATTTTAGCTTACTTCTCCAAAGACCATTGGATGAGATTTATACAAGTACTTCAATCAATGAATCATATTTTGAATTGATAAATGCTGGCTTCCACAAGTAAAGTGGTGACCACTGACAAACTGCATGATTTCCTGAAAGTTTATTTGCTTAATCTTTTTTGGTACACATATAGTGCTGGAGATCACAAAAGCTAAGCATGCATTCTGCCACTGTTGGATCATTTTAAAATTACACTTTCTAAAATGTATAAGTTACATCTGTTAGGGTTTTTCTTTTATACTTAAGAGAGTATCTAATAGAGTTTATAAAATGGGTATATTTAGTTTATCATGTAAATTAGGAATTTTGAAAAGATAATCAATTTTTTTTGTTTTAAGAAGTATAAAAATGAATGACATATAAGTAAGAGCTCTAAGAAACCATTTAAAAATGCTAGTTAAACATGACCAGAGACTGAAATAAAACTTTTTGCTTGCAGAGTTTTTCACTGAAGAGACAAAACGAATGGCTAGGAATGAAGACAGTGAATGCTACAGAATTAATCATACATAAACACTGAATACAAATAATCGGCAAGCAGTCATCAGTATGGAAGTGTACGAAATAATGCAGAGCTACAACTGTGACTCTCTAATCTCTGACGACTCTAAATTGTTCTCTCCAGAGATTACTGATTAGACTTGTTAGGTGTTGTATCTCAACAGAATGGGAATGCCACATTACAAGGGAAACAGGTATATAAAATATGTTAATATTATATAAGTGAATATAAAATTTACTAGTTCAACACATGTTATGTCAGGTACAACTAGTCACACTAAAAATAAAATGCTAAAAACTCACTCACTGTCTTCTGTGGGAAGGACCTGAAGGGAATAAATCCACTCTATTATATCATCTTTGTTCACCACATCTAAGGAGTCCAACATATCCAGCCCGGAGAGTGCAAAAAATGCAATTGTCAACCTAAAAGAAAAAAATGTAAGATTCCACCTTAACTATCAAACAACTGAACTCTTTATGGCTCAAAAAAAAAAAAAAAAAAAAAAAAGAACTCATTTAACATTTAAACAATTTAAGCAGTACTCTCACTTTGTTAAAGTAAAATAATAAGATAAATTCCCCTCCACATAGTTTACCTTTATTAAATAGTATCAGTCAAATCTTTAGTTTTTTTAAAAAAGGGACCATTTATGGGCTAAAGAAACCAATCCTCAATTGAAGCACAAGTGAATCTAGCATATAAACAACACGAAGACTAAGCAGATTTAGTATGAATAAGCCAAAAACGTTAGGAAAGTGTATAAAAAGGTCAATTTCTACTAATTTGCCAAGCGGAAATGTGCTTTATAACTTAGGCTTACTTCTTAAGGAATATACCAATTATAAATGTGATTCCTTGTGAAAAAATATGAATTTTGGAAAAGAAGAAATACTTTAAATACAAATGCATTTCAACTCCATTTTTCCAGCAAGGAACATTATTTGATAAAATAAAAAACTATATGGCAATGCCATTCTCCTCCAAGACTGTGCACTAAATCAGAACTCTAAAACTTGTGCTTTTGTATAAAAGTCAGCATATTAGTGTTTACTTTTAACATAATTTAATTCCTTTGAAGTTGAGAAAGTCTATAATGTTGCTTGATTGAGCACCATTAACTCATTTCCACAGTTTAATATCTCTATAAAAGTTTATTTCAAATTATCTGGCATAATATTGTATACCAAAACCATCTGATGCATGCTGTAACATTTTGGGAAGGTCCCAAGAGAAAATTAAGCCTTCATGCCATAAGCCATCTGTATGTAATACATTAACTATGCATCTAGGATAGAATTATCTAGAATGGTATTACCAACTTTAAGAGAAATGAGCAAACATTCATCTCTTTTTAGAGCGTAATTCTCTCTCTGATCCCTGGTTTTAAAAAAAAAAAGGCTGGCATCTACTAGGTAAGAGAAGAAATCACAATAATTTAATTCCAACTAAACCTAACAGGCAAAAACTAAAACCAAGGATACTGACATACTCAAGAAAAATACACATTTGGGAAAACTAATATTATTTAGAAACTATTAGCATATATTGGATACCGAACTAGAAAATTGTTAATGTATCAATTTGAATCTAACAACCCATTGAGATCCATCTAATTAAGGTTATTTACCTGCATAAGATCAGGATTAAATTAAGGGAAGTGGATCCCTTTTGTGTAGCAAACAGTGCTATGCTATAATTCAGAGATCAAACTCTGCTGTCAAATGAGCTACATTCAAATTCTAACTTGGCCAATAGCTAGTCACATGACTCTCGGCAGGATACTTTACCTTTCCTAAGTTTTAGCTTCCAGTAATGATATAAATCATCATTACACATCACAGAGTTATTGGGCTTACCTGTCTACAACAAGCACTCAATAAATAGAAACCATCATTATTGATGTCTATCCTAACATGGAGGGAAAGGAATAATAATAACCTTAATATTTAATCAAACTGTGTTACAAGCCTTTTCTCCAGGTCCTTGATTGGCAACCTTTTCCCCTAAAGGTAGGCTCTTTTCCAAAACAAAATGATTCTTTGGACACTGGGGAAACCTCTAACATAACAGCAACTGAGTTTGAAAATCACTGTTTGAAAATCACGTGTTTTATGTGAAAAGGTCTACTTTTTTGGTGATATTACTTAAAATATTTATTGTTAACAAATAAAAGACCTGAAATACTATTAATGTTCTCTGACAGTTTTAACAGGGTTTTCAGCTTTGGTATAACCCATAAAGTAAATAATCATGATTAGATAAAATTGATATTGAATAATATAGTTTATTAAAGCATTATTATAGAGAAAAGCAAAAGGAGGAGAGACATAAAAGTTGAAAAACCATGAAGGACTTGAGGTTGGAAATGGATAAAACAAAGATCTTTTAGTCAGTAAAAGCTATATAGTAAGAAAACATCCACGGGGGTATAGTTAAATGGTTAGTGTTTGCCCTGCATGCTGCAGACCCTGGGTTCCAACCATAGCATCTTGAAAAAAACAAAAGGCTATAAAAACAACTTGGTATTCTTTTCTAAGTTAAAAACTTCAGAAATTATCAAGACCATTTCTTTATTTTTATACTGAAGACAATAAAATCCAAAGGATTAAATTAGATTTCTATGCTTTGGTTAATCAATTAAAAGGAAATCTGAGTCTCAGTGCAGTATTCTTTCCCAAAGAGGTGCTTCTCAAAACTTCTGAACATTAGAATCAGCTTAAACAAACAAAAAAGGCTGAAACACCACAACATAACCTAAAAGTCCAGGCCTCACTTCACAACTAAATCAGAATCTCAAGGTGGAAGTTGAGGTCTGGGCACATTTTTGTTTTCAACTTCCCAGATGATTTGAATGTGCTGTCAGGTTTCACAGTGGTTCTTTATTAGAGCAAGGCTGCTAATCAAGCAACTACAGGAGGATGCTACTGTCATCTTTTGGGTAAAGGCCATGGATGCTGCTGAAGTCCTCCAACACCCAGGACAGGCCCAAAGAACAAAGAATTCTCTGACCCCTAAATGTGAACAATGCTGAGGATGAGAAATTCTATTCACACTGTTATCTGAAGGGTTAAATGATCTTTTGTTTTACTTGTTTCTGGAAGCATTTCATTTATATTCAAGTATCAAATATAATAAATCAGTCATATGGTAGTAAGGAATCTTAAAACCTTGCATACTTATTAAAGGCTCCTAAAAATCCAGTATTTTTAACTCAAGGTTGAAGGTTTAAGTAGAAACTCTAAAGTTTTTGGGATTAACATACCTACAGTGAATTGCTTATGTTTATAAATTAAGTCCCCATCACCAGGTGGAAGGAGGAGGAGAGAAAGGGGAGTAGCAAGATATGAAATTTATAATTATGTTATATGCATGTACCAGTATTTAGCAATGAATTCCACTATTAGGTATAGCTATAATGTACCATTAAAATACATAAATGAATAAATAAATGAAGTAAGGCCCCATCAGAAATGTTCAGTTAATGACTGGTACACAGAACCAAGAAGGTGCTTTGGAGCAAATGCCCAGCCTCCCTCTGAGACAAGCTGGTAAAGCATTCCTTTTCTGATAATCTCAGAATTCTCAAGTAGCCCTAAGTATTTGTGAGGGAAAGAATTAAACAAGTTGTAAGAAATACAAATTTATTTTTGACTGTAGGCCTCTGAGAGAAATAATATAGGGTTAATGGTACCCAAATGACTGCTACTTGGCATAAAATCTGCTGGTTAACCTAATTCTGTCCGGATGTATAGAGGAGTAATACTTGCCAATACATGCACCCAAAATCAGGTCAACTACATTATTTTTACTTTATTACTTTTTCTGGAGAACATTTGTTTCCTTCCTTTCTTTTCCTATAACTGAATCTCTGAGTTTGTAGCTTGAAAAGCTGAAGCAAGCAAGCCACATTCCATCCATCCCCTGCTCCTACTGGGAAATTTTTACACACACACACACACACACACACACACAGAGTTTATCTTACCTGGGCAGCAAAGTTGCATTTCCCACCCTAAATAAAATCTGCTTCACCACTGAATCATTTCAAAGATGGGATAGATGAACCAAACATTTCCAAAAGACCTCATTTTTCAAGATTAAGTCTGGGTAATGGAAAAAAGAATTTAGTCACAGTGATATAAGCAGTGTGCTGCCAGGCCAGAGCAGTGAGTGACAATTTGGAAATATATTGAAAATACTGATTTATAGACGTTGATTAGCTTCCCAAACTTTGGATCACTTGCTTTGTTCCTTTCTGGTACAACCCCTTAACTTTCCTTTACTGGTATCTCCAAGATGGACTGTATTTCAGCATAGGTCTCAGGGTAGGGCTATGGCTAAGTCATACTGCAGAGTTCCAAAATTATAAATAAGCAGCTACATTAAGAAACATACATTAAACTGATAACAGTGTCCGTAGAGAGCCTTTAGAGGACACATTAAAATCAATCATGAAGTTAAAATACTAGCACATAGATGCCCCAATACTTTAAAATGAATTACTGTAATAGTGCATGATTTCTAAAATTGTAAGCATTATTCATTCATACTTTATAATGGCTGACTCATCTGTTACATATGTTTAAGTATAGTCACACAACGTTAGAATTACTCAACATGCAAAATATCTTAATTACTCCAGAAGAAAGTTACTAAAAACTAGTATAGAAGTAGATTTCATCACAAAAATGAATAAAGCTTCCTAACTTAAGCAAGTTCTATGATACATATATAGAAATCATTCCTTTCTAAATTTGCTCCTTTCTGCCTTTCTCCAAACCAGGTGATAGTTCCAATACTGGAATCCTGAGATGACAATTCCTTCTTCATCCCTTACTTTCTATTCCTATTTCACATTTCAGCACCTTCTCTCCTGGACTACTGCAACAGCTTCCCAATTGATATCCCTGGTTCTGGTCCTGTTTCACCCAAAATACTTATCATTCTCAAATCACATGATCACTCTGAAGTGCACATTTCTAATCATTAAGATCCACTGTTTGGTGAGTTTCCATTATTCACATGTGATATCAAATTTCTGGACAGGGCACACAAAGCCTTCAATGATTTGGTCCACGTTTACCTCTTTAGGCTCAATTCCTACTACACTTGCCTTACATTTTGAACCAACATTAGTTATCTACTCAACACCCAGTTATCTGCCTTAATTCTTACTGTCCATTTGCAATATATCTTTTGGTAGGGGTAACCCACAAGAAAATCACAAAAACACCAAAAAACTCTGGAATACACTCTAACAAAATTTAGTTTGGGAGTTATTTCTTCCAGGAAGCCTTCTCTGAGTTCCTCTCTTTTCAGCTTGAGCTAGTTAGGTGCTTCCATTATGCCCTGTGAATATTGCCATCATTGTATATAGAAACTCAAAAGTGTGGTCAAGGGATCAACAACATCAGCAGCACTTGGGAATTTGTTGGAAATGCAGCATCTCAGACACCACCCAGACCTATGCAATTAGAATCTGCATTTTAACAACATCTCAGGTGAGTCATATGCACATGAGAATTGGGAAACACAGGTGTAATAATCTACTGAATACATTTTTCTCCTATCAGATAGTCTCAAACTTCAGCATACATCAGAACTACTTGGGATGCTTGTTATGATGCAAACTCCCAGGCCCATGTCTAACATAGTAGATCTGGGGAGGGGACCAGGAACCAGCATTTTTATAAGCACCCTAGGGCACTAAAAAAGAGCTTCCCACAATTATGCTTTGAAAGAAACACTGTTAGACTGTAATATAATGGATATAAGAGAGGAATTGAAAGGATATTGTAGTTGCAGAATGGTAGGCAGCAGAGAGGTTAAACACAAGATACACAAAAAGTAGGTAGACTGTAAATGTGTCATAGAATAAAAACTGCCTAAACTTTTCCTAAAGAACAGCTAGGTCAAAAAAGCTTTATCTATACAAATTTTTATTATTCCAGTACAAATGGTAATAACTCAAACAACAAAAAACTCTAAACTACAGTCACAAAAAGAGCTGTTAATTGACAACGCTTACCATCTGAGGTTAGTCACTTAACTAGAAATTACCACTTTTCCAAGGTTAAAAGAAAAACCTCAGATGAAACAGCAAACACTATACTTATTTTCATGAAGCAAATGTCATTAGAAAAGTAAAAAATCATTTATTCTTGTCATACTAAAAGAAATAGGAAATGGAATAATTTTTCCAAAATACAGGGGCAGAAAATAATGTCTAAATATCTGGTCCAATATTTGCCTTACAAGTCAATGTTTCATATTTATCTGCAAAAAATAACTGAATAGAGAACACCTGAGTCATTGGCTTAACACTGTATTCCTGTTACTAGATACCTAGTAGTCATTCAATTAATGCTTGTGGAATTGAAGTGCAATACTAGGTAAGAATTGTGAGCCCCCCAATACATTGTTTTCATCTTAAAACTCTAACATAGTAGAAATTTTGTGATCAGTCACCTTTGCTTAAAAGGTTAAAGCTTCTTCATAACCATCTTAAAATCAATTATGAATCACACACATCACAAAAAGACCTTAATGATAAATGAAGGTAAAAACAGTACACAGGGAAAGAGAAACTAAAAAACCAAAACTAACTACAAAATCTGATACATTGTTACCTTTAAATATGGCTACTGAGTGAGCATAGGAAAACTAAAAATGATTTAAAAAATTCTATGCAAGTGACAAAACACTAAACATAAAAAGAATACAATTAATCCCTCTTAACCATTGCAACAATGGTATCTATTCTCTAACATACAACATTTGGTGTAGAACCTACTTAATAAAATTTTACAGTTTATTTAATAATTTTTAAGTCTGGCAATTTTTGCTGTTTTACTTATGTTGTGAGCAGAATTACACAACTTAATGCCAACATGCATGGTTTTGTATAAGCTGGAATTTTATAGATCAAACATAGTGGCATCTTGAAAATGTAACCACAGAGCTATAAGTAAGCAAAGCTGGACTATTTAAGTCACAATGTAACAAAAAGATATAATTTTTTAATCCAAATTCTCTGAGTTTTCATAAGATCAATCCCCATAAATTTGATCTATTAACATTTTAAAACATTTCATATCACTACCAAATGGACTAAGTTTTGGATTTCTTTCGTTTTGTGCATGGTGTTGGGGATTGAACCCAGAGTCCTATGCATGCTAGGCAAGCACCCTTACCATTGAACCCAGCCCTTGAAATCTCAATTTTTAAGGTGTAGATATGGGCTCTGCTAGCCAGTCCTACAGATGGAGAAAATAACATAAATGACATTATACCTTTTCAAGAATGTGTTTATCCTTCTAGGCCCAGCTCACATATTCAACAAATATTTCTTTACTGCTTATTATATGTCAGATACCATTCAAGGCACCAGTGCAATGCAGTCTCACAGGTCTTGGTGAGACGATCCAAATTGCTCAAACAGAAAGAAACAACAGCCAATGGCAAATATGGTGACCGAGCACTTGAAATGTGGTGGTTACTGGAATAGGGGAACTGATTTTTAACTTTGACTTAATTGACTCAAAACAAAACAGTAAAATGTGTCTAGTGGATCCCTTATGGGACAGGGCAGTCCCAAAGTGTTGTAGAGGTAAACAAGATAGAAAAAAATCCTACCTTCATGAATTTACAATTTGGTGTGACCCAAAGTTAGTAAATAAATCAACTAATAAATACATGTCAAGTGGTGATCACAGAGGCCTCTCTTAAGAAAACATGGATTAGGTACATGCCCTTCTATACGCTCCCATGAACTCTACACTAATATACAATTTTACTGGAACTTGTCTTATTTAGCTGTATTACAATACCTACCATAATATATATATATATATATATATATATATATAAATATAAATATATTTTTTGACCACGTGTGCAGAAGCAATCTGTAATTCCCCAAACTAACCTAGTAGTACAGTACTCAAAATACCAATCTGTTTCTTCTCATCCAGTCCCATGCAGTTCTGAAACCACTTTAAAACGCAGCAATGCGGAGCCAAGTATCACCTCTTCCTTTCGCTTTCTCAACCCCAGCTTTACTGTGAATCACATTCCTTAGCTAACTCTAACTTTACCAAAGGCAATTGCAAATTCACTTTAACGAAATGTTTCACGCAACACTGCACCTCTTTTGTTTACCATTGGATTTACAATTCCTGGAAAGTAAATTTCTACTCATACCTTACAGGCTCGCCACTGCTCCTACACACCAAAACTACATTTACTTCCAATTACGCGTTACTGACTACAGAAGAAAGAGAAGCATAGGAGCTTTGTGTTTTCCTTTTATAACATAAATAACGAAGCAAACTGAATCAAGGGATCTGGGAAACGAGTGAAAAGGAAGCTCAGAATAAACAAAAAATGGCTGTGTAACAAGACGGAAATTCAGGATTCCAAAAAACCTTCCACTTAGAGCTTTCCAAATCTTTCAGCCGTACTTCGGAGGTGCAAGGGTGACTGCAATTCCGCCTGAGACTGGTGGGAGCGGTCAGAGTCGCTGGACTGCAGTGCGGCCCCCTGCAGACGCCCAGTTCTCATTCCAGCCCCTCCTCTGCGTCTTTCCGAAGGGGCCGGGCTGCGCTGTACGGACTCCAGACTGTAACCACGAATTACCTGCTGGTCTCCAGCGAAGAGTAGCGCTCCGGCAAGACCTGAAGGCAGCGCTGGAAGAACCGCACGTGCCTGTCCCGCAGGAAATCCAGCCGCTCTCCCTCACCGCTACCAGGAAGAAGCTCATCCTCCGTGGCCGCCATGCTGCCCCGGAAGTGATGTCCACCGCGACCAGGAAGCAATATTCGTAAAAGGGTGATCAAACCCTAATGACCCGGATGTACTGGGTCACAAACCAACTAGATGATGGGAGCCCTATACTGTAGACTGCAAATGTACAGCATTTTCTACTTTGAGCGCCCAGAGGTTCGCAAATAGTTAGGTCTTGTAGAATACAGCCTGTAAATTCGTTAAAACTTTGGTCCTAGTGGGATATTTGGGAGGAAGGGCAAGTACAAGAGCTTCAAGTTCATTTAGCCAAAGTACAGGCCCTAGAGAATGTTAAGAGGTAGATCTGAAAATAGGGATGGATCAGCATAAATTTGCTAATAGAGTCATTTTTGGGGGGTGCAGGGTGGGGGTTAACACATTTTTAAGCTTAATAGGGAAACTAAACCTAATTAAAATGGTGGATATAAACATGCTTTTTATGTAATTGCCAGCACTACAGAAGTTGAGATTTACCTAACTTTCTTTGGAATGACCAGAATCATTTAAAAATAAATGTATAAGGCTGGGGGTGTAGCTCAGTGGTGGAGCACTTGCCTTGCACCACGTGAGACCTTGGGGTTGATCCTCAGCACCACATAAAAATAAATGAATATTGTGTCCATCTACAACTAAAAAAAAATAAGTAAATGTATAATCTTCAACTTACCAAAGTTTGATGTAGTGATTTTTCAATAGAAATCATACTTTAAATTCTGACACCACCTCTCCACAACCCAGCTTAGCAATATGTAAGGCTGGGCCTAGGGTTGGGAGGCATAGTCAGTCAGGACCAACCAACACTCTTAGGGTATTAAAATACATAGTGTAATATTCATAGTAGTGCCAAGCTAGTATGTATCAAATTAGGTGTATTAATTGCATTAAAAAAGGTTTATTGGAATGTAATCCTATCATAGAGCACTTATATATATGCACTATACACACCTTACACAAAACTTACGTAATCATTTGAGACTGCATTTTTTTTCTTTCACAAATCTTACATATTTAACACCTGTGTCCAAGTGTCATCAGGAGTCATTGTTGCATCAATTCTCAACAGCAAAATAAGCTCAACATATTCTCCAATCAACCATATACTAAAGACAGAAATAAGGTGGTTCATTTTTCAAAAAATGGGGGTTTAAGTTACCTCTACTATGTACTTTTTCCTTTAAAGATTCATGAGGCAGAGGCTGGGGTTGTGGCTCAGTGGTAGAGTGCTCACCTAGCATGTGTAAGGCACTGGGTTTGGTCTTGAGCACCACATAAAAATTAAATAAAGGTATTGTGTCCTCCTAATATATATTATCATTATTATTATTATTATATATGATTCATTCATGAGACATTCTTGGGGAAGAGAAGGATCAAGTCTAAACAGCGTCTTTAAAATTAACTCTCTTATTAGAAATTTGGGTATACTTTTGTTAGCTTTCTTAGAAAATATTTTATTTAAAAATGTGCCTAATGGCTGGTGCTTTATTTATTCAACAATTGAAGGCTCCTTGAATGATTTTTGCTACTATTAACTACTTATTCACAGGCATTCCTGCATTTCTTTAATAAATAATGCATTGACAAACAGCATGATGGTCCCAGTGTTGACCTTGGTGCTTTGCTACAAATATAAAGCTCACAGTCCTTGTCCTTCAGTCATGACAGGAGTTTTCACTGTTATTACAATTAAGATCTCCCACACACGACATACAACACGTACATAGATACCTGAAGATGTTAAAAACTGAATCACAACACTGATTTAATTTACTAGAATCAATTGTGCATGCTCTATACATGATTGGCAATTCTCATCAACATAGTCCTTAAATTAGGGAAGCCAAATATTTCATCTTGTTCTTAAGCTCAAGAGCTAGCAATTTAGTATGAAATTGAAGTAAAAGGTTGCTATGCTGGACTCACTGAAAGATATAATACATCTCCTAAGTAAGTAAAAGCCTTTTCATGAGTGACTCTGACTATACAAAATGTTTGGTATATGTACGACAGAATCTAACTTCCACATAAAATGCCACTGTACATAATTAACTAAGTACAGATAGCTCAAATCTTATGACACAGTATCTATAAATCAATATTATTTAGCCATTAAATGATAATGTTGAAGCCTGGTAGGGTGTCAGTGCATACCCAGAGAGTTGGTAGTCTGAGGCAGAAGGATCACAAGTTTGAGGCTATCCTAGATGACTAAGAGAGACCCTGTTTCAAAATTAAAAATAAAAAAGGGCTGGGGATGTAGCTAAGTGGCAGAATGTCCCTGGGTTCAAAAATCCCAGCACCAAAAAAAAAAAAGTTAAAATTATGTGGAAAATATGTATAATGTATTAAGTGATATGTGCCTCCATGTATCTGTTGTAAAATACATAGTTATATTTTAGAAAACTGTTGTCTTGGAATTATAGATGCTTTGTAACATTTCTTTAGTGTTTTCTTTCTAAACTTCTTATTAATATGCTATTTATTTATTTATTCTAATCAGTTATACATGACAGCAGAATGCTCTTCGATTCGTTGTACACAAATGGAGAATTTTTCACTTCTCTGGTTGTACCCAAAGTAGAGTCACACCATTCATGCAATCAGTCTCATTCTACCATCCTTCCTATTCCCATACCTCTCCCTTGCTCCCCTTTGCCCCATCCAAAATTCCTCCACTCATCCCATGCCCCGCCCCCCATTATGGATTAGCATCCACTCATCAGAGAAAACATTCACCCTTTGTTTTTTTGGGATTGGCTTACTTTGCTTAGCATGATATTCTAACTCCATCCATTTATTATTAATATACTTTTAAACCAGTGTAAGAAATGTATATTTGACATCTCATCAATGAACCTATAACTAAATACATTTTAGATTATGTTTATCTACATTCTTTTTTTCCCTAGTCTGAGGACTGAATTCAGAGCCTTGTGTGTGCTAGGCAAGCACTCTGCCATCCTACATTCTTTACGCAGGGATCTATATAACAAATTCCTCCTTTACTTCAAATTCAGTCAGAAAGACTGATTTTCTTCAGAGAAACATCCATACTTTATTAAAAATAAGTAAATAAATAGGTAAATAAAATAGAACAGGGTTGGGAGTATAGCTCAGTAGGGAAGCATGTGCTTAGCATGGTTGAGGCCTTGAGTTCAATCTCCAGCGCTGAAACAAAACACCCCAAAATAAACAAAAGCCACAAGAAACACATCAATCATAATGCTTAGCTTAGATGTAGGAAACTGAATGCTGCATTTGTGTACAACAAAAAGCAATGGAAGAAAGATTTACTTTTATGTATCTTGTAGCTGGTTCAGTTCTGTTGTTAAATTCCCTATCTTTCACATTTTATTTTTGAACTACTTCAAATCATCTAAAAGACTTATGTGGAACAAATAATATAAGTACAATGGACATTTCCAATTAAAGATTGTTTGAATTGGTTTTCTCATAAATACCAATAACTATACAATTAGAATTCTATTGCTAAAATTTGGAATCTACATACTTTGAAATATTAACTGGTATACTGGAAAAGGTTTTGACCACTATGAGTCATTTAGCCCATCTGTAACAAAATTAAAAGATACTTTAAGGGCTGGGGATGTAGCTCAAGAGGGGGCACGCTCGTCTGGCATGCGCGGGGCGCTGGGTTCGATCCTCAACACCACATAAAAATAAAATAAAGATATTGTGTCCACCTAAAACTAAAAAAATAAATATTAAAAAAAGATACCTTAAGATAAAATTATAAGAAACAACTTTTTGGTAGTTTTATGAATACAGTAGGTTTCCTATAAGATGAAAACTAATTAGGGTTAGGATCTAAGATTTTATAATATGAAAAGTTGAATTCAGTAAAATTGTGTTTTCATTTATAAAAGTTTAGAAATTTAAAAATAAACTCTTTGGACCAATATATTTGCCTAGCAATTTTGAAACATTTTAAATGCTACCTAAAAAAAAGTATTTTAAAGCTGGCTTATTTCAGATGATATTTCAGAACAAAAAGTTCTATTTTGAGGCAAACAGAGCAGAAATAAAACTGCATTAACCAGTAAGATGTGAAAGACACGAAGATTTTATAAACATATGAAGTTCAGAGAGAGTGAATGGCAATTGGGAATAGCTACAGGAAATCAAAAGGATGATAGCAATAATACAATTAGTAGGGAATTTGAGGTGCAAGGTATATTTTAAAAGTATTCTCTATATAAAACAATGCATGCTTCAAACAAATACAAAATGTTTATTACACAAAAATGTAATAACTGACAAACTACCAATCTGTTAAACTTAGAAAAAAATACTAAGTTATTTCATAACTCTTCAAAAAAGACACTTTATATTTTTGTTACTTAAGCTAACTTACTTCAAAGTTATAAAAAATTACAAAATTTTGGTTTAAAAAATGTCTTTCTATGATTACCCCCAATTTATTTTGCTACACATGACAAAAAAAAAACAAAATATCTTTGAAATGTTTTGAGTATTTAAATGGAATAAAGATTGAACATAAACTTATTTAAATAACTTTTACATCAATAACAGGCCAACATACACCTTAAATGTCCTCTTAGTAGAAGCAGGAAATACTAATGACAATGCTGCATGAAACTTAAAAATATCTCTCAATTCACGTACAGCACAATAATCAATCTGGCTAAGCTAGTACTATTTAAAGAATATGGTTAGTTATTCTCTTAGTATAACTGAATATGCTAATATCCTCAAAACATAAATAGCAATTCAGTTATCTCACATTTTCTATATTCCTTGTCTCCAGGTTGGAATAGCCCTATGAAGAAAAAGAGAAAAGCAATTACAAATACAAGAAAAAAATTTAAAGACCTAAACACATCTAATTACATGTTAACTGCTAAAAATGTGTATAGATTTACTTTATCAACCTCATAACTAAATATAATATAGAAATTGTATAAAATATAAACATGCAGCTATGAAATTTCTCTAAAGTGACCATCCCTTCTAACTCCTTTTTACCTATGTGGGATATGTAGAAG